GCACAGCACCTGGGGAGAAGAGAGACCCAGGGGCACAATCAGTGTCTGGGTGTGGCCTGGGATGCTGCCTGAGCCCTGTGGTGGGGGATTGTGCTGTGCACCAGGCGCTGCACTGTGGTGCTTAGCCACTGGCTGCATTTGTGCTCCTATAGATCACAGCAGAGCTGGAAAGGGCCTGCTGCCCAGTGACTTCACAGCCTCCCAGGGCTGCCCAGTGGAGTTCCTCATGCAGTAGTGGTGACGTCACAACCTCCCAGGGCTGCCCTAAGTCATTCCTCATGCCTTAATGATGACATGGTAATGTCCCAGTCCTGCCCTGGGGAGTTCCTCATGCAGTAGTGGCAATGCTCTTGTGCACAAACCCCCTGCACTACTGGTTACCGAAAAACAGGGCCACACAATGACAGGCAGGACCTACTACTTACAAATGCCAACCAATGATCATGTGGCGGCTTATGCATTTACTGCACTATGCTTTTCATATTATTTTAGAAGTGACTGTAGTTCATAGGGTTTAGTATCTTCTCTCCAAATGGTGCTGATCCTGGGCACAGCTCAGGGTGCACACTGAATGACAGTATCAGTAGCTGGATATTCACCCATCCCTGGGCTCTTAAGAGACAGAAGTTCATTAAGTAATTCCTTGAATCAAAGCAGAAAAGATAATCAACCCAGAAGGTGGGCAGAGGTAGAAGCAGCAGGAAAGAGCAAGGGAGCAAACCACACGGCCCACAGCACTCCAACAACCGACTCTGTAGGTGCGACAGCAGAGGAAATGTTGGAGAAGAATTTAGAAAGCTCCTAGTTACAATGTTGAACGAGCTAAAAGAAGATGTAAAGAATGAATTTGGAGAAGATACAGGAAGTGGAAGATCATTTCAGTAAAGCCAGAATCTAAAAATGAACCAAATAGAAATTCTAAAATCAAATAGAAATTCTGAAAACTCGATAAACCAAATAACCTCCTTTTTCTCCTGGTAAAAAATGTCTGCTGTAAAACGGGGTGCCACGTGACGCCAGCCCAGTCGCCTCCTTCATGTCTCCTGATTGTATCAGGAGCCACGTCCGGTGATTGACGGATGCCATCTAGAGTTTACGTCAGTTCTCCCTACCGGGTTCCCTAATGAAGGAACTTCCCCAGGATGCAAGCCTGTTGCTAAGCAACAAGAGATGTAGCTGATGGGGTTTTCCAGAGGATTCGTTTTGTTGTTGAATCCGTCAACGTGAAATGGGCATCGACCTCCTCTGGACTTCCCCGGGGCCCAGGCTGTTTGATTAGGAGCGGGGCAGCCTGGCTCCTGAGTTCAGCACCCCTGGGCGGGCGAGGCGGGGACCCCTGGGTACCTTGGGCTGGGTTCTGTCGATGGCCGTGAGGAACAGCAGGTGGGCCAGCAGGAGGCAGAGCGAGAGCTGCAGGTGCAGGGAGGTGCTGGTGTTCTGGATGGCTCTGCACAGGAGGAAGGTGAGGGCGGCCAGGACCAGGCACAGCAGCGACACGCCCAGTCCCAAGCACGTGATGAAGTCCAGCACAGGGTCGTCGTCCTGGGGCAGAGGGAGGAGCCTTCACAGCCACGTGCCGGGCCGTGGGGTAGGAACCCCTCCGCTATCTGTCATTTGGTCCAGCAGATTCAGGAATGGAGGGACTGGGTCCAGGTGTGAAGCTGATGGGGGAGGGGCTCCAGGTTGAGAAGGTTGGACTGTTAGGTTTTCTGAATGGAGCAGGTAAGCGGCTAGAGGGCCGGGATGTGTGGAGTCCTTACTCAAGGAGGAGACTCGGGATTCCTGATTTTGGGGCACAGTAAGGCGTTGGTTGATATGTGAGTGAGTGTGTGTGAAGCCCATGCTGAGGGTCCCTCTGTCCCTGTCCCACGAGACCACAGGGCAGAACCTGAACCTCAGTGTCCAGGCATTAACCTCCCAACCCAGACATAACTGCCCTCAGTCCAGCTCTGCCTGTTTCTTACTGGCCACAAGTCCCTGTGAAGTTAGAATTAGATACTTGGTTAAAAAAATAAAATGAATGATAACAGTAGCTTAAAATTCACATTTCCCCCACTTGTTACTGAAAGTCAACTTAAAGCCATAATGACATTTAAAAGCCCACCGTCAATTCTATTTCAATGTAATTGAGGGGAAGAGGAGAGAAGAGGAAAGAGGGAGGGGAAATGTTCAAATGGTAAACAATGAAGGCAAAATTTCAAAGCAGGCACATCTGGATGAAGTGCACACAGATGTTGTTTGTGTGGATTTTGTTTTTGCAACGTATCTGTAAATTTGAAATGGTTTCCCAAGAAAATGTTTGAAAACAAAGTACAAACCCTGCAGGTGATGTTTCTGCATGCTACATTTGAGACTCTGGTGTAAAGACAAAATTGGGAAATTAGGAGGCAGGACAGAGGAGGAGCAGAGGGAAAGAATGACACCTGATAAATGAAACAGAGGCAAAACTTTCAAAATAGATGCCTCTGAGTAAAGAGTAATGGGTTGGTGGGTTTTTTTTTCATTTCCTCATGGTTTTAAGAGGACTTGGAGAAATAGGTGGGAAAGTGTAAATTTTAAGTTACCACCATAATTAACTTTCTTCCTTTAACCAAGTATCTGATCTTTTTTTGTTCTTGAAACGTATCTAAAAAATAGAAATTGTTTCCTAAGAAAGCACTTAAAAATAAACAGTCCTCCAAGTGATATTAACATGTGATGAATTTTGAGAACTTCTGATGTAAAGACAAAATCTAATTTCCATAATATATAAAAAGCTCTTGGCTGAGATCCTTGTCATGCTCATGGTCACAGGGTGCTCACAGTGAATGCCCATAAGTGGGCTCATTTGAGAGTCTGAACCTGGGGAAGCAGAAGTATCCACTCACCTGGCTAGAGGAGGAGGTAAATAGCCCCTGGTTCAGCTATTCTCCCTGACTCTTCTGACCCCCTGTCACCTCAACTTCACCAGACCTTCTTTTTTTTTGTAAATCTGAAATCCTGACTACGGTTGTCTTACAGACCCTGGTGGTAAATAGAATTCTAACTTGGTCTTCATATGTCCACCCCCTGCTGTTACACAAACCTTCTTCTAATTATTCAGTTTTCTGATAATCTAGGTGTTGCTGTAGAGGGATTTTGCAGGTGGAATTTAGGACTCAATCTGTTGACTTTTAGATTAGGGAGTTTATTCTGCTTTGGTGTGATCAGGTGATTGCTTCAAAGATCTGGACTCTTCCTGGGAAAACAGATTCAAAACTTGAGAGGGATTCTATACATTTTCATGCTGGTTTTCAGATAGGAACACTGGTGTTTTGTGAGAAGACCAACCAAGGGTCACAGGAGAGGAAATGTGGGTGGCTCCTAGGAACTGAGTGTGGTCCCCCCTGACAGCTGCTAAGAGAAGGGAATTGAACTCTGCCTGCAACCAGGGAGCTGGAGGAGGGCTGCAAGACCCAGAAGAGACTGCAGACCTGGCTGATGTGATCTTGTCAGTCTTTTAGAACCTGTACAAGGAACTCATCCCCCTGTGCTGGGTTGCTGACCCACAGAAACCACGAGGGAACAAATTTGTTTTACTTCAGCAGCGACATTTGCATAAGTGTGTTTTGCAGCAATTGATGCTGAAGGCAGCCTCTCACCTGCACATGGTAGTGGGCCATGAGGACGGCAAAGCTGCTGAGGTGGGTACAGTGGCAGGTGGTGCAGCCACCTCTGGTGCTCACTGTCCTGCAGCCTGCAGTGGTCCAGTGACTCCCATTCTGGCTGTGGTCCCAGGAGACACAGAGCACCTTGTGCCTTGGTGTAGGTGTCACCAGCTGTAGTAACAGGACAGGGGTGTGAGCTGGTCTTCCTGCGCTCAGAGATGCTGACCCAGGAAGGGTTGGCTTTCCTGTGTGGAGTGCACCTGAACCTCAAGTTTAAGAGGACAACAAGGGTGTGCCTGGGCCTTGGACTCTTCCCACACCGTGGTTCCCCACCCACCACTCACAGGATGGGAGAAGGTGAAGGTAACTGGCGAGCTGAGGTTCTGGGTGTTGTTGCTGCTCAAAAAGGCTGAGATGACATCTGAGAGCAGGACAGGAGAGACTCTTGGCAGAAAGTCCTTGTGTGTCCCATGGGGAGCCACCTGCTTCTCAGGCTCCAGGACCAGGGGAGCCTCGGCCAGCAGCTTGTCCATCCCTGGGGTGGAGACCAAGCCCACCACAGAAGGGCCTGCAGGACGAGGCCATGGGTGAGTCTCAGGGTCTCCACCAGGGCCTCCTCCTTAGATGGCCTCTCCTCCTTTTGAATTGTTGTATTATAATGATACATAATAGTGGGACTTGCTGCTCCACATTCACACGTGCACACAACAGAATGTGGCCCCATCACTCCCCAGAACCTCCCCTTTGGATGCTCTTCTAATCACCTCTTCCCACCCACATCATCCTTTAAGCTTGAATTCTGTATTTTGGGCATCTTTTTCCAAACAACATGGTACTGTTGTAAGGTGGACATCTCCACATCTCTGATGTTACCTCTGTGAGCAGATTCCTGTGCCAGATTCCAGTTCAGCTGCATCTTTGCCTGATTCAGACTCAAGGTGACATTGCCATCTGGTCGCTTCTGCACCTCTATGGACAGTTCTATGAATTGTGGGAATAAGAAGAGATTTGTTAAGAATATACATGTGTATATGTGAATATTGTATATGTACACGTCACATTATATACATGTATTTGTTTAATTTCCCTTTCTTATAGTCACACATATATTCAAGTGTATATAAAGACACACATATATGTATATAATTGTTTGTAACCCAGATTTCCTATATATGTGTGTGTATATATATATATATATATATATATATATATATATATAGTGTATACATGAGTGCATACACACATGTATATGAAATCTGAAGTTATGAAGAATTGTAACAGTAGGAGCAATTTTGCATCAACAAATTAGAAAAGTTAGATGAAATTCTTAGGGACATAGAAACTACTAAAACTGACTCAAGAAGAAGTAGAAAATCTTAAGAGACCTATCATGGGTAAAGGGATTGAAGCAAAAATGAAAAACCTCCTAAATGAATATCTGAGATCAGATGGTCTTGATTGTGAAATTCACCAACCATATAGGGAAGAATGAACATGAATTAGTTTTAAACTCTTTCAAATAACAGAAGAGGGACACCACCTGGTAATTCCTGAAGGCCAATATTACTCTGATGCTCAAACCAGATAAAGACATCACAAGAAGAGACTTTATTGCTTATGAACACAGATACAATAATCTGTAACCAAATATTAGGAATCAATTTCACTAAGAAACTCAGGACTTGTACATAGAGAACTATTAAAGATTTTGAAAGGAGACCCTATATGAAGGGAAAGGCACCTCATGTTCATGGATTGGGAAGCATTATATTGGTAAGATGAAGACACTCTCCAAAGAGATCTACAGGGTCAATGTCATCCTATCAATGTCCCAACAGCCTATTAACATTATAATTTGCTTAAATGGAAAACTCACCTTAAAATTAACACAGCATTGCAAGAGATCCAAGTAGTTAAAGCATGGCTGAAAAGAGCAACAAAGGTGGAGGACTTACACTTCCTGATTTCAGAATTCATGGCAAATGAGCAGAGAGCAAAGCAGCATGGTACTGGCATGAAGACAGAGGGAAAGTTGAGCCCAGAAATAAACCTACTGTCAAGTGCCTTTCAACCAGGGACCAAGACTATTCAGTGGGCATAAGAATAGTCTCCAAGGAAAAAGAAGGAAGTGGACCCCAACCTCACACCACACACACAGGTTAACTCAAAATTGAACAAAGGCCTCAATCTAAGAACTGAAGCCCATAAGAGGACCTTGAATTTGGCACTAGATTGTTAGATATGATGCTGAATGTACAGCAATGAAGGAGAAAGTAGATAAAGTAGACGTCCTCAAAATTGAAAACATCTGACATTAAAGTGAAACAATTATCACAGATGTGAAAAGATAATCCATAAGATGGAGAAAGCATTTCCAAGTTGCACATCTCATAATGGTCTCCTGTCAAAATATATGAAAAGCTCTTACAACTCAACAACCAAAGGACCAACCCAATCACAAATGCACAAAGGATCTGAATAGATATTTCTCCAAAAAGATACACAGATGGCCCAGAGGCACATGAAAAGTTGCCAACCATCACCCATCAACAGGGAGATGCAACTCAAACCGGCAATGAGACATCGCCTCACATACAATAGAAAGGCCTTGATAAAACCAAACATGATGGAAGTAACACTTTTTGTCAAGGCCTTGGAGAGGGGACCCTTGCACCCCTCTGGTGTAATATACAATAGTGCAGCGACTTTGCAAACCATCTGGTGGTTTCCCTCAAAATTGAACACAGAACTACCATGGTACCTAGCAAGTCTACTTCTCAGTAGATACTCCAAGAACTGCAAATAGTTATTCAAACAAACACTTATACATCAATATCATAGCAGCACTATTCACAATAGCCAAATGGTGAAACCAACCCAAATGATCATCAGTGGCTGAGTGAGTCAACTCAACACACATAGGATGGAATAATATTCAGCCACAAAAAGGGATGGAATGATGCTATGCCATGCTCAACAGCATTATTCTAGGTGGAAGAAGCTAGATGGACAGGTCACACTTTGCTTTACACTAAATGATAGAATAGGCAGCTCCATTAAGACAGCAAGCAGGTAAGTGGATGCCAGAGTTGGGGGGTGGGAATGAGGAATGATAGCCGAGTAGGCACTGTGTTTAATTTTGGAGAAAAATGTCTTAGAAATGGAGGTGATGGCTGCATCAGTTTGTGAATGTTCTTGATTCCACTGAAATGTAGAACTGGTGGATTTTATTTACATATTTATTTTTTGGTGAATTTTATGTGATGTGAATTTTACCATAATGAAAAAAAGCATACTTAAAAAAGATTCATTTGTATTCGTCCACATTAGTTTTTTGAATCTGTTTCCATTTTGCTACCTAAATGTGTACTATTTGTGGTTTTCTGCCTTTTGCACTGTTGTGATTATTTATGTGAGTCACGCTGAGGTACAGTGTGGCCACTAGCTCTAGTGGGATCAGAAGAGGATGAGACAAGGAACAGGGGCTGGCACAGACCCAGGGACTTACGTGTGCCTGCAGAATAATTGAAGGTTGCTGTCCCCTCAGGCAGACCCCTGCTCAGGTGTCTCAGGGCACTCTCCAGACCTGTCAGCACGTGAGTGGCCACGCAGTGCTTCTGTGAGGGGGGCAGGGTCTCCAGGTCCCCAGGGGTCTCCAGCAGCTCATCCACCTCCTGCATTATCCCCTGGAGGGATGGGGGCACAGAGCAGGTGGACTTTGGCCAGAAGGACCACACAAAGAACTTGACCACTCAGCCCAAGCGAACAGACCCAGACACTGTCCAGTTGAGGATAGAGAGAGCCTGGTTTGGGACATCCTGGGTGGCCTTTGCTCCTCAGAGGTCAGCTCTGGTTTGTGACAGTCAAGGATGACAAAGACCAGGATGAGAGCAAGAGAGGACAGACAGTGCACGTGGGCATCCAACAGTGTGTGTGGCTCCCAGTGTCCTCTTCCACCTGCCCTGGGAGAGTGGCCAGCTCAGAGCAGGACTCCACTGTGCTTGGGCCTGTCCCCCTTTCCCCAGACCACAGCTGCCCTCCTCCCTCTGTGGGAGGTCTCCATCTACTTCCCCTGGATCCTGCCCTTACCTGGATGGTGTCCTTGGCCATGGCTGACTTTAAATCCCTGTGCAGATTGTTGACTTTGTCAAAGAAGTGGGAGAGACTCTGGGGAGGTGAGATGAGGAATCACAGGTGGGTGGGAAACTCATGGCCAAGGGGTGGACAGGGTGCTGCCCCAGGGATTCCCACCTCCCTGTCCTGGCTGTGGCGCTCACCTGGCTGTGGACTCCAGGGGGCAGAGGCCAGGTGAAGAAGGGCATGACTGCGGGGACAGGACAGTGGTTCATTAGGAGGAGTGCAGATGTGCGTGTGTGGGTATGTATGAGCATGTGCATGTGGGTGTGCACATGTGTGAGGTGGGGGAGGTTCTGGGGTCAGGGTGGGCCGGGTACCTTTGCAGAACTTGCTGTAGAAGCCATTGACACTCCCAGGAATCGGCTCCCAGCCTGGGCGGCATTGGCACAAGTAACTCCCCCAGGTGTTGGTGCAGGTGGTGGAGCGGTGGCACTTATGCTGCCCGGAGCTGCACTCGTCCATATCTGGGGACATAGAGAGAGGGGTTGGTTCCCACTGAAGCCAGGACCAGTGCTCTCCACCATCTGATCTCCACCCCCTTTCCTCCCATTAGTGCCCTGCCTGGGCTGTGGTGCTGCCACCCAGCGACCCACACCCTTGTGTGTTTCGAGGAGTGAGCAAGCCCTGGTGTGCCCCAGGCTTGCCCTGTACTGATGCAGGTTGTGAGGCTGCAGAAATACGTCCTCCCAGGAAGTTTTTTGTTGCTGCTCAGGTCCCCCGGGAGTCTCCTGTCAGAACCTCTGTTCCTTTCCCAGGACCCTGGTCTTTCCATACAGCCCTCTGGATCCTCCGGCCAAAGCATGTTTTACACATGGCACAATGTGCACCCATAGGGACCTTGTGTCCTCAGAGTCCCCTTGATCCCCAGTTTAGCCCTGTGTACCTCCTACATTCATTCACCTTCCCTTTTCCCTCTGTGTACTTGGCACTACCATCTTCTCCGTGGGTGGGTCCTGGCTCCTGCCCACCCACTGCTGGACTCCACCTGGCCCCATGGATGCTGGAAGCAGATTTCTTTGCCTAACCACCTTGCCCTGGAAGGAGGCAAATCCTGCTCATGCGTGGAAGTTACTCCTCCTGGGAATCATGGTGTCAGGCCAGACCATGGCAAGGACCAGAGCAAGTTGTGTGGAACTAGCTTTCTTCTGAGTGGCAGGGACATGGCCCCCAGGAAGACCCAAACCCTCTGGGCAACTCCTTCAATGGGTGCAGATGTGCTCATCTTTTAAACACATAAGAAGAGTCCAGCACCCACCATGTTCCAGGCTCTCTTACAGGCACTTGTAATTTTCATAATCCTCCTGGAAGACACAGGAGGTAGGCACTGTTATGATCACCTTCATGATACAGATGGGTAGACCAAGTTCAAAGAGAGGTAGTGATTTGACTAATAACATGCAGCTAACAGGTGCAACAGGCAGGTTTTAGACCCAGGAAGCCAGTTGCAGAGATGCCCCTGATGTTCATGCTACCCTGCTTCTGTGCTGGGTGACAGGTACATGCACACCTGTCTGCCTCAGACCAGGGCACCACTCCTGTAACCAGGGTTCTTCCATCTAGATGTCACAGGAAAGGGTCTGGCAACCTCAACCCTGATGATGGGGAGGTGGGGGAAGGGCCCACCTTGCAGCTGTTCTCCTCTCATTAATAAAGGATTCTTGGCTCCAGAAATGAGCACACAGCCTGGGCTGCGTGTGCAGCAATTGTGCCCTCCATGACCTGGCCGTCTGCAGATTTTCCACAGGGCACTCTCATGGCCCTAATTTGGTGATGCATGCAACATGATAGGTCAGAGGCTCACCTACCAAAGTTGTGCTTTCTCTCAGGGAAGAGACCCAGGTGCTCAACCTGACCCTGCTGTGAGATGTGGACAGACCTAAGGCCCCAGGTGGACCTCCTGAGCCGGGCTGCTCTGGAAGTCCCAGGACCACTCTGCTCTCTGGAGCAGAGCCCAAGGACATGTGGGTTCAGATTCTGTGTTATGGTGGGGCCTGGCAAGGGATCTACATCTCCTCTCCATCCTGGAGTGGCAGAGGGAGGCCCAGCCATTCCCTGGACCCTCCCCTCTGGGAATCTTTGCACCACTGGGGTCCTACAGGTAGTCTACGCTCAGGGAGAAGGTGGCAGTGAAGGCTACCCTTGATGCCTAAGCAGTGGGGGTGGGAGATCATGGCCAAGGGCTTCCCAGTGTCACACTCAAATTAACACCTGAGGATAAAGCAAGGTGCTCAGAAACAGAGCAAAGCTGGGCACATCCCATGACTTGACTTCCGAATCTACTAGGAAGCTGTAGTGACAACACAGTGTGGGGACACACACAGCCACGGAACAGGGAATAAGAACACCCACCCACAGAGGAGTACTATTCAGCCTTAAAAAGGAGGGAAACTCTGTCAATCACAACAACAGAGGTGAACATGGAGGACATATGTTAAGTGAAATAAGCCAGACAAAGAAGGACAAATACCACATGGTGTCACCTCCACGTGGGACCTGAACAGTCAAACTCCTGGAAGGGGAGGGTAGCATGGTGTTTCCCAGGGGTCGGGGCAACAGGAGGGGTGTTGGAGAGTTGTGCATCCAAGGCCCAAAACTTCAGGTAGGAGGAGCTAAGTTCAAGACATCTATTGTTCATTTTATTTACTTTTGATACCAGGGATTGAACCCAGTGTACTCTAATACTGAGCTGCATTCCCAGCCCTTTTTATTTTTTATTTTGAGGCAGGATCTCACTAAATTGCATAGGGCCTTGCTAAGTTGCTGAAGCTGGCTTTCAACTTAAGATCCTCCTGCCTCAGCCTCCTGACCTTCTGGATCCCAGGTGTGCACCACTGGGTCTGGCCAATGGTCTGTATTCTTGAAAATCACTAAGGGATTAGATTTGAAGTGTTCTTATCACAAAAACTAGCACCTGAGGCATTGCATATGCTAATCAGCTCCATTTAGCCATCCCAGTGTGCATGCATGTTTCAAAACATCATTCTGTACCTGATCAATATGTACAACATTTTTATTTGTCAATTAAAAAATACAGAAAGGAAACAGGAATATATTCCTGGAGAGGGATGACTGAGATGCCTGTGTAACAGGAATGTCCTCAGGGCCACAGATCTAGTATACTGGAACGTGGTTAAAATGATAAGTTTTATGGATGCAGATTTCATCACAATTTAAAAACCCTGCCACTGAGCAGCAGCAAGAAGAACTAAATCTAGGTGCTCAAGCAGGTGAGGTGGCACATGCTGTAATCCCAGTGACTCAGGAGGCCAGGGATGTGGTTAGTCGTAAGGCCCCAGGGTTAGGTCCCCAGGACCAAAACAAACAAACAACTAGAAAACCAAAAGCCCCAGGTGCCCAGGCCCCAGCAGGTTCCACCTGCCTTTCCTCACAGTGACAAAAATGCACCCTTGATCGTCCCCAGGAATCCCCCAGCTCCTAGTGTGGACTCAGAACTGTGGGTGGACACTGACAGGCCTTTCCAAGGTGCCCAGCTTGTCTCCGGGGAGCCTTGCTGTCACCACCCCTGGAGGAAGTTCCCCCTTATCAGAGAGGGCCACAGACAGGAAATGAGGAAGCTTCTGGAAGCAGCTCCCAGCTGAGGCCCTGGGGGTGTTTCCTGGCTTCTTATCTCTCCTGGTCTCTAAATGTGAGGGGAACATGCTCAGGAAGCAGGTCCCTTTTGAGTGCCACAGGGACCCACAGGACAGAGGCCTGAGGTGAATGGCCAACACAGGAGCCTCAGAGAACCCAAGACAGGAGTGAGTGACAGCTCATGGCAGACGGCCCTGGGTGTCCCAGAAAGGGGCCAAAGATTCCCGGAGCCCAGAGGATTCCTGGGGTCAGGATGAGGCAGGGAGGGCTTCTGGTCTCCTGGACCCATTTTTGCACCTGAGGAGGCCCTGCTGGGACCCGTCATCTGGGCTGTGTGGATCAACAGCAGGACGGGCCAGGACAGGGGCTGATGCTCCCTAAGGGCCCCTGTCCAGCCCCCATGGGGCAATCCTCCCCTTTTCCCAGCTGGTAGCAATGGCTGCAGAGGTGTGCCGTAGGTGGAGGGGACGAGGTGGGGTGTGGTCTTGTGGGGACAGCTGGGAATGAGGTGCAGCAGCACCCCCAGGGGACCTTCCACCAACTCCCACATTTCCCCACATCCTGGGCTCAGCCTCCCCATCCCCAGCTCCCTGGGTTCCCCAGTAATGAGCCACTGAGAGCCACCACCTCATGGGATCTCTGGGGCTCCAGGCTCCTGGTGGCAGATACAAGGAGGGCTCCAAGAGAGGAAGTGGTTTTGCTGATCCCATGCTGCTCACGGGTGGCCAGTCCAGGCTTCAGACCCAGGGAGCTGATCCCTGCCTCTGACCTTGGCCTTCACACCACCCTCCCTCTCTGTGCTGGTGGGACAGTGGCCTGGAGTGGGCACCACCTGTGTCAGCCAGGGCCTTGGCCCCTGGGTGCCACAGGATACCTCTGTCCCAGTCCTCTGGCTGACACCCCTGGATCCAGATCCAGGGGACAATGCTGAGGTGGGCGTGGGCTGGAAGCTCCTCTCCCCCCCAGTCCTAAGGGCAGGTGAGCACAACTCCTGGCCCAGGCCCTGTTTAGCTCAGAAGCCATTGCTAACAGCACTTTCTGGGAGCCAGGACCTGCTCAGTGCCTTTGGATCTCATTTCCCTCCTGATGACTCCCCCCTCCCCTACTTTGTTCCCCTGGTGCTGGGGACTGACCCAGGGACTCACACCTGCTAGACAAGTGCTCTACCACTGAGCTATGCCCCAGTCCAGGACTCCCCTTCTGCAGATGGACACACTGCAGCACAGAGAGGTGAGGTTACTTGTCTGAAGTCCCACAGTGAACCAAGAGCCAAGATACCACTGGTTTTGTTTTTGATTTTCCTGCTCATGCCAGGCAAGGGCTATGCCCCAGAGCCACACCCCAGCCTCTCCCTTCCCTTTGTTTGTAGCTTTAGAATATATGGGCTCCTTCCTGTGGTTTTCTTTTTCTTTTCTCTCTCTCCCCCACTTCCCCCCCCGCCAGGGATGGGGTCTCTCTATTTCCCAGGATGGGTTGTACTCCTGGGCTCTAGTGATCCTCCTGCCCCAGCCTCCCAACTAACTGAGACCACAGGCACAGGCCACTGGAGCCTGTTTTTTTTAAAACAGAAAACAACAATGATGTTGTCACATCTCACATGT